GGGGGGGGGGGGGAGGAAGGGGGTTGTCATTTTATTTATCGAGTTTCGACTAATCTCAATGCAATTATTTTTTACAAGATCACCTAAGTATTACTCATTGCCTCGTGCCTGTTTTCCTATACCATTGAATAGACGATCAATTTAAATTAATATTATTTTAATAATGATAAATAAATAAAAGGTAAAAGGTAAAAGCCAAAACCAAATCATACATGTATATAGTATATACTTTTACAGTAATTCAATATTATGACATATATAAAGCGTGTTCCATTATATCCTTTATTTATTCACAGGCAGTCAACATGTCTCTATAGTCCATTTCTTGATTACAAAAGGTAAATAAACCTAAGGGGTATTTAATATATTGTAGTGATTAATTACTTCAAATAATTACTAAAACTTTTATCTCATCTTTTTTAATTAAAATCTTTAAAAACATAGGTTTATAACCCCTTGCATCACAAAACTTGATATAAATAACTTCTAGACATGAGGAGGAATATTAATAGGCCAACCAATATTGCTCATTAGCATCCAAATGTTGTTGAGCTCTTCATAAACTAGGTTTATTGTTGGGCGCTCTATTCTTGTTTCAGACACACAAATTACTGCAATGTGCAATATGGATTTCAATGCTTCGTGGTTTATTAGTTTCCCTTTCAACCTCGGATCTTCAAACTCAGAGATTGGAAGCTTTCCTGTACTTACATCCTTCGCCTGCATCAATTTGTGACGATTATTGGATGATATATATACACTAACGTATTTCTGTATTTCAGGTTTTTTATTTTAGAGGGGAAAAGTTGTTTCTTAAACTTCATGTTTTTTACATAAATTGGATGAAATTAAAGGAGAGTAATAACTAATAAGCATGGATTAATAACGTGCAAAACATTGGTTGAGGAGTACAAACCTTAAAATCAATACAAATATTTCCATTTTCGACCATCCATAAACATTAATGCACTAAGCACTTATTAAGAAAAGTCAATTGCATTACTCCCCTGTCTCAATTTATATGACTCACGTTTCTTTATATTCAGTCCCAAAAGAAAGAACACATTTTTATATTTAGTAATAATAATGAAACAATTGGTAGTCCTACCAATATCTATGACTTATTTTAAGCCTTAAGTTTCAAAAATCCTATGTTGCTCGGACTCTTCCAAAATGTCAACGTGTCGAATCCTCCAAACATAGTGTATTATTGAAGGATCCGACACGAGCGGCATTATTTTTGGAGAGTCCGAACAATGGAACTTAGCAAAAATCTGTCTTTCTTTCTTAAATTTCGTATCAAGTGAAAACTACATCACGTAAATTAGGACGGATGAAGTATTTACCTTTGTTAACAATGTGTGACTGGCATCTTGATCAAAGTGAGGAATTTTTGTTCCAGATAGGACTTGCAACATTATAACTCCAAAGCTATAAATGTCAGTTTCTGCACAAGTGAGTAACCCACACTTTTTGTATTCAGGGTCTGTGTATATTCCATTTTCCAAAACATCTCCAAATACTTTGCTTTCTTCCATTCCTAGCATTTTTGATTGCCCAAATCCACATAGCTTTGGTTCAAATGTCTCACTCAAAAGAATGCTGCTAAGCTGTCATATTAGAACACTATTAATACTTATAATTTATAAAAACAATTCCTAACATCGTCAAAGAGAGAAGTATTGAAAACAGTACCTTGAATTTTGGCACAGATTATTAATTGGCTGCCTTATTAATTTTTTCCAACTTATTGACAACCTTAAAAATATCTCTCTATTTGACTAACTAAACTTAGATACACCCCAGATATGTCACATGACATAGCAACTGGTCTCAGATTCTTGAAGCATGTGCCTCTTGATAAAAAAAACGAGAGAAGTATTGAAAACACCCCTACACTTGGCGAGAATTTAGGGGTGCATTTTACTAAGTTCAGTTAGTCAAGTAAAATGATATTTTTAAAGCTGTCAATAGTTCAGGAATGAAACTAATAATTCGACCCAAATTTAGAGGTGTTTTCAATACTTCTCTCAACATAAAAAAGTTTAATAATTTTTGAACAATACCTTAATGTGGCGATGAATAATTGAGCCATCAATATAATTATGGAGATATGTGATTGCACTTGCACAATCCCTCAATATTTTAACTCTTGCGTCCCAAGTCAAAACAGTGTCTTCTCCTAAATATTTCATGAACAAGCTATAATGTAACATTATCTTTAGAGAGAAATTACAATGTATAAAACAAATCAATCTTTGTGAGAAATATATATCTTGTGAGAGCAGTTTAAATCATTTAAAACTTCGTGTCAAATCAAACAAGACCCCATAAAACAAGACCAAGGAAACAATATTTATGCAATTTTTACAAAGTTTATATATACTCATTAATAGTGGTACATACGTAACCAAAAACTAGATAAAGGATAGATAAAGATGAATTATTAGTGTATTTGTTTTATATATGCAAAAATTAACTAAATAAAGAGAGTTGATTTTCGTGCACGTACAAGATTTACACTATCATAATAAAGTTACCTCTAACAACAGATATGTATTCATAATAAGCCTAAGTAAAGATAAAATATATTTTCATTTTTACTTGTCACTTTTATCATATTCCTTAGCATTAATTATTAATTCCCTAAGCATCAAGATAAGGGTAATGCAGTAAAACAGTCTTATTTATTACTCCGTTTATCCAACAATACTTGTCTACTATTGATTTTACATACTTTTTAAGAAACTATAAATAGAAGAATAATTTTACTATATCACCCTTTGAATATAATGAATACAATGTCTTGAAAAATTTAACAGAGAAATAACTATAATTAAGAGAAAAGACATAAATGCACCACTGAAGTTGTCCCAAATTTTAAAAAAGACACCTTAACTTTGCAATCGTCCTATTACCCCACTAAACAATTTAGAACATGTATTATTATATCTTTTTTCGTCCACCTGACATAGAGAGTGGTGTGCAGCAACCCAAATGAACTAATATAATTTTATTTTTACAAGTACTTTATTATAAAACATATTAATTTATTTTTCTTATTATTTTAACTTTTTTTCCTTTTTATTTTTTTCTCTTTCTTTCTTCTTCAAAAATTCATTGTCATCTCCATTGAAAATTCTCACTTTCAATGTCACCATTTTTACCACAACTCCACCTTCCTTTTTTAACTACTATTAGTTTTACTTTCTTTAATTTTAAAACTTTAACTAAATATTTTCTTACATTTCAAACAATTTGATAAACCCAAGTCAAAACAGTGTCTTCTCCTAAATATTTCAAACAATTTTATTTATCCGATTTCAATTAAGTTCTTTCAATTTTTGGGGAATTCATTGATTTTTTTTTAAAAGCATCATTTCTAATTTTGAAGTTATATGAAAAGGAGTAATTGATGATATATTCAAAATTTTAAATTTCTTAGAAAATAATTAATTTGTTATCAATAATTCAATAAAGTCTAAAAAATAGTATGAATTCTATAAAGAATTTGACCGGAGAAGAAGAAGAAAAAGAAAAGAAAAAAATGGGAGTGAGGCTCAACTTGACGTGGTGGGTGGGGTGAGGATGGGAGGTGAAGAAAAAGAAAGTAAATGGAGGGATGGATCACTTGAAAGTGGGAGGTGGAAGATGAAGTGAAATTTAAGATAAAATCAAAATCAAAATTAAAATAAGTCAAAAAGTAAAAGAGAGAAAAAAAAAAAAAAAAAAAAAACTTAAAATGATTTTTTTTTTTATATGTTTAATTAAATTAACACGTGTCATGTAATGATTGGTGTGTGAACACACTTGCTTCTTAAAATCTGGAGCTAATCGAAAAATGATATAATAATATCTATTCAAAATTGTTTAGTGGGGTAATAGAACGATTGCAAAGTTAAGGTGTCTTTTTGAAAATTCGAGACAACTTTAATGGTGACTTTATGTCTTTTCTGTATAATTAATGATAAGGGTAAATTAGGAACTAAGTGTAAAATAATCCATTGATTTCATAAAGTGGATAAGTTTTGTTGGACATTCTAAAATTGTATAGTGGACAACTATTATTGGACGGATGAAGTATTATTTTTTCTTAATTGGCGTCCCAAGTCCAAATATGACATGTAAAAATGAACGGAGGTATGAGAGAGTTATAAATTAAAAAGTTAGAGGAAGAGAAACTAACTGATTAAATATTGGCCTAGATTTCCACCAGAAGAGTGTTCATAAACCAAAAAGTGATTTCCATCTTCATTACAAAAACCCAATAGACAAACAATGATAGGATGCCTAGCTCTTGATAGACACTCAACTTCCCTAATAAAAGAGTCCATTGCATCTTTTGTTTTGTGCATCTCTTTAATAGCCACATTTTGTCCACTTGGTAATATCCCTTGATAAAACTCTCCTCTTCTTCCATGTGCTATCCACTTTCTTCTTCTCATATTACCAATGTTTAAAGCATTCTCAATCTCAACATTTGTGAATTTGTAGAGACCATTAGTGGTAGGTGACTCCACATTTTGAGTAACCACTACCTTTTTACTAATTCTCTTCAAAATGCATTTCAACACCATGAAAAGTATTGTGATTATTACTATGGTCACAACCATTGCATGAAATTCTTCTCCCATTTAATAATCTTTTTTTTTTTTTTTTTGTGAGTAAAAGCTTCTCTAATATCACCCCTAGCTAGCTAGATGCACTTCTATCAATTATATGTGGTTCAAATATAAAATTCACTCAGATAATTAAGAGATATTCAAGAAGTTAAAGCACAATTCAACTCACATTTTTGAAATTTTATGAAGATACTAGATAGTCGAAATCATAAATTGCAAAAATAAAATAAAGAGAAAAATTGATATATGGACTCATCAAGTAACACTACACTAAAAATGATCTTTACAGCAATTACTTAATGGTAATTAACTAAATTGCCGCTAAATATGTTTTAGTGACAATTAACACTCTTTGCAAGTGTCATAAAGTCTATAATAACATTGAATCCAATAACAATTAACTAATGTCCGTAAAGACTTTAGTATTATTTGTTAATGTACATATTCATTTATGTAAAAAGCTATTTTTGTTGTAGCATATGTAGTACTAAAAATAAAAAGACCTTGACCAAAACCAATGAAGAATGAGAAGACGATTATGGAGCAACCTCAAACGAAGTAACATGTTCAGTATTTATAAGTTTTCTGGGAAATAGGGAAACACAAAAATGTCAATTTTCTTGTTAAATTTACTATGCAATTCCTTTGTCACTCTTTCAATGAAACCTTGATATTCCCCAAGATCAACTAAGGAAAATGGCAACTTTTCGTTTCATATTATTGATGTAAGTCCAAAGGACTACCTAGTTACTCCCTCCGTCTCATATTAGTTGATCATGTTACTAAAAATAGTTGTCCATCTTATTAAATCAGAAAAATATTAATTAATTTTTTTGTATATTATCTTTACAATTAATTCTTTTTGAAAGTGTTTACATTTATTTGTAAAATTCTCAAAAAAAATTGAACGGGTAAATTAATAAAATTATCTTCTTATTTTTTATTTCTTAATATGCGTATAAAAAGTAAACTGATAACAAAGATGACAAAGAACAGAATAAGGTACATAATAAGTTAATGAATGTCAGACATGTTTTGATATAAATATTTTATCTAATTTGATATTTCTTTGTTTCTCCAATCTTTTCTGCTCTACACAAATCCTCCTCACTCGTTTTGTGTGATGGTGACCAAGGGCAATAATTCTATTCTATGCTTAGGTAACTTCATTCAATGTTATTAGTACTACTATAAAACCTCACAAGTAGGGGAACATAATATGGTATATACGGAATATTATATCGAAATAATATTTTTTTTACATTATAGTATGAATATTATGATATTTATGGTAAAGTATTTGGTATGCCTTTTAATTATTTTTTTATATTTGATACGATATTTGATAGTTATAATATAAATATAGAAATATCATATACCACACCAAGGTTTTATAGTAATATATATAGAACCCAAACTATATATATATACTAAAAAGGGATGATCCGTGCCAGCACGGGCCCAATACGTACATTTGTGTATCTTTGAACTTTTTTTAGTTCTCAATGCTGAAAAATAACTTTGAGTTTTGATTTGTGTCAATATATTCATCTACACTTGTATCAAAAACAATTCTAATTGTCATTAGATAATACATAACAATGTCTATAAAATAAATTTTATAATCACGGTAGTTTCAGTTAAATAAAGAGGAGCTCAAAAACTAAATAAATCTTCAATAGTTGATGCAAAGAAAAATTCAACCCATCCATTCAAAAGTCCTCCCTGCATGACTGTCACAAGCTAAGATTTTGACCAACAACCTGAAGCAAAATTAAACAAAATGTTTCATCAAATATAAAGTGCAAATGCATTCACGGAAAGGTCCATTTTTGTAAGTACCTCTAGCAACTTGCTTGTGAAATTATTAGAATTGAAAATGTCAACAACCAAAAAAAACATAAAATATAATTTACACTTGATTCTCTTCTACAGAGATCCTTGACCAATCATTATTTATTTATAATAGAAGGAACTTTAATTGCTTAAAAAATAGAAAATATGTAGTAAACTGATAAGTAACTTTTGAGTTGTAGGATGTAAGGAGAAACAACTTCTTCCCCTATTTATAACGCTTGTATTTTAAGAGAGGAAGTCGTCAAACTCTTGAAATATCTTCAAAGAATCTTCCTACTCTTACATTTTGATCATACTGAAATTAATATCCTTATTTTGTCATATTTAATAAATAAATGCTTCCGTACGTGTCTGCGGTATGTCACTTTACCTACAATCTTTTTCTCGGCAATACACCATGCATCTACAATGAATTTCATTATTGTTGGTTATTTTCATTTATTATGAGATCAAATAGAGTCACTTGTCTCAACCTGTCCTTTCTGAGTTTCTGTCAGTAATATTAGGACTTGAAGAGATGGTCAAAATTGAATGAAAGAACTTCTTTTAGGAATAAAATGCATTAAAATCTCTATTTTCCTTTTCTTATTTATACTACTGCTTGAACTTAGAAAACATTATGAAGACACGAAAATGACGCCTAATGTAGGAGCTAATGTTCTATGTACTCTAACATCTGATGAGTTCTTATTATTAAATAGAAAGGCAACTAATATATTATAAAGAGATGCAGCAAAGCATCATGAAAACTAAATCGTTCTTTAGCCTACTCCATAACACCTTCATATTTATAGAGAGCATAAATACAACTATATAGACAATTCCTTGTGCAAGCTAGCTAGTTCATTTTTTCATATTCTTCTTCGTTTTCTTTCTCAAATGCTGAATCTATTTAGTGATAGCAAGCACAATATTGATTTTTTTTAATTGTAAAATAACTAAATTTAACATAAGAAACCCATGGAAGAACTTAAAAAGTAATACAAAATAGAGATTTTTCTGCTCAAGTTTCAATAATGCAAAGTAATTTTAACTTTTTGAAAACACATTATGCGTGTTAGATATGTAAACATACGATAAATGTAAAGAATCATACTTATAATACAAAACCTAAAAAGTATATAGTTAGATGATTATGTTATTATTGTGAGACTCCTATTATATATGTGCTATCATGTAATGACGACACTCATCTTACAAAGCAAAATTTCTACAGTTTCCTTGATCACAGGATAAGGCAAATGTATTGGTGAGATGATTAAAGAAACTAAGCTCACGAAATATCTTGTTTTCACCTATAGACTCTTCCATATATACTATTGCTACATCTCTCCCCGCCTACTCCATGTAAATATAGTAAGATGACTTTAGATGCAGTACTTATGAAAGATGAGTTAATAGATTATAAGGTGAGATATATTATATTATCTGATAATGCAAACACCAAAATCAAGAATGAGAGATAATACTAAATGTAAGCTTCATACCATGAACATGGAGACACCTTTCATGTCCGATTGAGTTTTGTTATTCATATGTGATAGCTGGAAGCTAGCTGTAAACTTTAGGGTAAGACTTCCTATTACCACAGAAAACCAACAGTCCATTCATATGATCTCACACAACAACTTTTGAACACCTAGCAAAAAAAAAAATGAATAAAAGAATTAATTCTTACTTTTAGTGATTCCCCTCAAGACACAATCATAATTTATGTGTGAAGAAGAGAAAATTGACTTTCACAAAATATCATCATAGAGCATGTAAATCACTTATCATTTCCGATTGAGTTCTTTTTATTAATAGAAAACATGAAGCTACTTGTGAACTTGAGGGAAGAAGTTTCTAGTAACATAGAACACCAACAACATGGAAATACACTTTTTATCATCCATGACCTCTATCACCCTTAAACTAACGATTTGTATCAACTTTCAAATCAAGTAAAGAAAATGTAGTTGTTGACACTACAAGAAAAGTGTGAATTACATGGGGATTTTCCTGGGGATTAGTATGAAAATCCGTAGGAAACTTATTTTTCTGCAAATTTTCATACTAATCCACAGGAAAATCCCCATATAATTCACACTTTTCTTGTAGTGTGATAGGTTAAGTTCAGTGACAATTTGACAGTACTTTAATGCTTAACTTATTCATAACTTTCTCAAATAGTTTTCTTTGTATAATCAGTGCATCGTTGCTCATATTCACTTATGTACCACATTATCACCTTGATATAGTAATCAAATCTTAATAAAGCTACCAACTGACCTTTATAAGATGTCCAATAATGTTTCGATAGGATAATATAGTGGCTAAAGACCAAAAGTATCAGACGTTAAAGATAACAAATTTAAAGGTAGAAATTCAATCCAGTTCACAAGTTGTACTCCTATACCATCTAAAGATTATATGATTATCTCCATCTTAGGGTGATAAAGGATGGAGTACTGATAGTTATAGTCTAGTAAAGAGAAGTGATGTCTTTTCTACACTTTCAAAATTGAATGCTCCTATTATTTCTACCTATTACTTCATCAGAATATTTATTTGTCAGGTCTGAAGAAATATATAGAACGTTGTTATTAGTGTCTTAGAAATTTTCTAAAAATCTAGAAAAGTTCATAACACGGAGAAATAAAAAAAAGAAGCAAGACATTCTTAAAAATTGAAAGACTTCTCCTATTAAAGAATGTCATTCTATTCCTTCAAATGTGCATTTTTCAATTCTAACAATGGGGTGCAAGCTTCATTAACCATTTTATGTAGTGCAGAGTCTTCCTATAACTATACGGGAAGATATTTGGTGGCCTTTTAGATTTCATGTGAATGTGTTCCGAATGATCTCGTCGTACACACTATTTTATGTAGAATGATCATCTATATCTTCTATTGTAGGCGGACGTATTAATAATTTGACATTTTTTTGGAGTTGTGATGTCAACATTAGCTTTTGAGACATTTGATATTGTTCCATCTCTTCTACAGTTGACACATTCTAAAATGAACATCTCTATCACGCCTGCGACAACATCATCAACAACAATAACACAAAGATAATTAGTTACATAAAAGGCAGAATAGTTAAAGATCATTCTAAATGTGATGTGTTTATTCACCTCTCTTAAACTATCATTAGTCTTAATATTTGCAAA